AAGCAGCAAAGAAGATCCTTGCAATTAAATTCAGAATACCTCACATCTAATAGACATTGATGGTTAGTCATTTTCTCAAGTGAATATCAACATGAATAAAAATTCTTTCGTATCATCATCATTGTGAGCTTTTCCGTCTTTCTTTGTAATTTGTGAGATAACAACAAAAAAATAATTGTGCACGTCCAAGTGATGACTGTTCGTGTATATGTACACACACACACACACACACACACACACACACACACACACACACACCCATACACACGCATACACACACACAAACATACCCAAAAGACTTTATACAACCGTTGAATTTAGCTCCTCTTCAAGAATTGACTTTTATTTGAGCCATTTCCACCTGAATGCACGTGTCTTAGGACAAAGGAGTCAGTCCTGTGTTAAACAAAAGGTGATCAATTCTTCGTAACTGTTTCTATTTTGCTTCTTTTTTTTTAACATTTTTTTTTTCACATTTTCTCTTTCAGATTGTGGTAAATGCTCTCATGAATGCCATCCCCGCCATTGTCAACGTCCTCATGGTGTGCATGGTATTTTGGCTCATATTCAGCATCATGGGCGTTCAGTTCTTCGCCGGAAAGTTTTACAAATGTGTGAACGTTACCACTGGCGAAAGGATAAGCCACGTGATCACCCCAAATCGAAATGCCTGTGACAGCACCAGCGGGACAGAGTGGGAGAACTCAAACGTCAACTTCGATAACTCAATTGCTGGATTTCTTGCTTTGTTTCAAGTGGTGAGTCTTCCTTTAACTGAAAATTCGGTGTAATTGTCTGAGATAAGAGAATACATAGGTGGTAGGCCTACAAGTGGTTTTGTGTTGGTATCAAATGTTTAAATGCAATGTCTTTTGTACTTTGGTTGAGATTTTTGTGGTCATCATTATTGTCGTTCTCAGCCTGCACCACGGTATAAGCCACGGAAAACACGTTCCATCTTTCTCTATCCTGTGCTTGCCTCTTGATGTTATTCCATGTCTTCCCACTTTTCTGTACATCGAGTTCTATGAAATCCTGTTTTCATGTAAATTTTATTAACTTATACCATACAACCCATATCATTAGATTTGCTAAAAATTTCCTTATGACGTGAAGCACTGTTTTTGGGTTTTTTAGTTTTTTTTAAATTTTGGTTGTTTTTTTTGGTGGGGGTAGGGATGTCATTTCTGCAGGTTTTGGAAGGTAGAAGAATGGTAACATATAGATTATATATTTGATTAACGATTATAGTGTGAATTAGTGAAAAGATTCAAAAGAGACACAAAATTATTGAGTTGCAGGTCCACTTTGGGTTACATGTACAATCTCATTTTGTTCAATTATTTATATTTTGAACCTGAAGGGCAGTTTACGTCCATTTACCTCTACTGTTTTGGCTACTCTTTTAAGCTTGTGAGTTTGGTTCAAGTTTAAGTTTTCTTTTGACTTGATTCATTTGATACTGATCATTTCTATTATTTGTCACTCAGGCAACATTTGAAGGCTGGATGGAAATCATGTCAGATGCTGCTGACACTACAGATGTAAGAAATTTAGTCTTTCTATTTGTTTTAGTTTTACCTCTAATCCCACCCTGTTGCAGTCATCTTTTACTTTCTTTTTATTTGTCTTCTTGTATTGAATGATTTGTTGTTTTTATTTTATTTTTTTATTTTTTTGTTTCACAAAATTTATTTTGCTCTCCTTGTCTATTACTTTTCTTTTCTTTTCTGTGCATGTTTTTTTTTCTCCATATTTCTTGATTTATCTTTGTCATTTTTTTCCCATTTCTCCGTGTCTTTTTGTTCTCTGCCCCTATCGTTTTATCAAATAATTGTCTTAAACACTTTCTTCACTTGTTGATGAAAATCCATAGCCCATTAATCTAGATGCTGATATAAAAATGGGCATGTATGAATACTTTCTAAATAATGCTCTTCTAAAAAGAAGTCATAGCAGTTCAATTTTGTGTTTAATTATGTCAGTAAAGGTACCTGCTTCTGTGATGTACGCTGCTGAAATTATTGTTACAAAAAATTTAGTCGTCACGACAGAAAAAAGGAAAGAGAGAGGGGATTAAGAGTTTGAAAACATTTCAGAGTTTAAAACTGGACGAAATAATCAACATTAAGTAAACGGCGGTGAGAAATACTGTTGAAGCTCTTTGTTAACTGTGATTTTGAAGTTGTTTTTCTATTACTTTAAATGGTGCTATCTGTAATTAGGATACCGCACTGCAGTACTTTTAGGTACGTTTTAACAATTTGTGCTCTTCTACATATAGGTATTATGACCATATGAGTATTTTAGTTCATAGGAACATGTTTAGGAGGAGTGTGAAGTTGACACACTTGTTTCTAGAGACATTTTTGTTAATGAATTTTGTTTGACAAAGAGTGTCCTTTTTAGGTGGAGAAAGAAATGTGTTAAACTTTCTTTTCTCTTTTTCTGAAGCAACGTTATCATTTTTGTTTTGTTTCAGTGTCAAACTGAACACTCTTACGATTATTTCATTTTTCTCTTTATGGGCCCTTCTGCTGAATGCTACGTAAAGGTTATGACAAGCTCATACCACAGAATACACTAATAAAAGTATTGAGTAAACTGATTGTTTTCCTATATTTGCATCAGCCTTATAATTATATTGACTGTTTGATGCAGTGATAATGCAGTCTCGTGCTTTTTGTTTCAGGTGGATCAGCAACCCATACAGGAGAACAGCAGCCTCTCCTACTTGTACTTCGTGGTCTTTATTGTATTTGGGGCTTTTTTCTCGCTTAATCTCTTCATTGGTGTCATCATTGACAACTTCAACGTACTGAAGAAAAAGGTATGCCAAGATGATTCTCAAAATTTGCGAAAACAACCTCTCACTATACATTATGCGCTCACTTTGAGAATACATATATTATGATTTGCTTGAAATCTATATTATGTAAAATACTGTTGATCTTCCAACCTGGACAGTGTACCAGAGCCATGCCAAGCAGCTTAATCATTTCCACATAGAATGTCTCAGGAGAATTTTTAGCATCATACCAGTATTACCAGACAGCCAAGTTCCCAACAGGGCAAATACCGAGGGTCTGTTGTCTGAGCTCATAAGGAATGAACTTTGCTTGGCTAGCTATGTTGTCAGAATGCTTCATTTCGAATCACAAAGGCAGTATTCTATTCTTAACTGTCCAAACACACACAGAGACACACACACACGCACACACACACACACACACACACACACACATACAAGCACACTCACACACAAGCACACTCACACACACACACACTCACACACACACACACACACACACACACACACACACACTCACTCACACACTCACACACTCACACACATGCTTTCTCATACACATACATACACTCATATAAACGAACAAACAAACATTGAATGCACATTCACAACTATACCCACCTTTTATCACACAATGACCTTGTGCAGTGCAGAACCCCTTTAACAAAGTTATGATTCTGAGTTATCTTCATGGTGTTTCAGTATGAAGGCAGTTACCTTGACGCCTTTTTGACTCAAAGTCAAAGAAATTACTACAACACCTTGAAGAAGCTGGGCAAGAAGAAACCTCAGAAAACAATCAAAAGACCAAAGGTAGGTATTTCAGGCGCGTCAAGAGTTTATGTCGTTTATCAGTCTTTAGACTTTCCAAATGTGAGGAGGTCGTCTTTTTTCGGTTGTTTAGTCTTCTTTTTAAAAATATCAAGTTCACATCGTGGTGCCATTGTAATGTACCATTTATATTTAGTTTGAAAATAGTACAATGGGGCAGTTAGTTCTGTTGGCATTTTGACAACAACGTATCTTGCATGTATTTGCATTTCTAATACACTAATGTTAGGACAGAAAATGGCACGTGAACTTGTCAGATGTGTGCTTTTCCCATACATTATTTAACCTTTGGAATGATTTTGCTGTGGTGGGGAATGCTCTCCAGTATCGCTGAAGGGAAGGAGAGTAGACACTTTATACTATAGTAAAAGTGCATTTTGCTTTTGGGGACTTCAGTCAAAACACACTGTCATTATAGGACAAGGAAAGACGCCTCTTTGCCTGTTTTTAGTGACCTATATCGTAAGATGACCGTTGCACTCTGCAACGTCTTAAATAGTTTGGAGATACTGGAACAGTATATATTATGGCACCATTAGCTTTGTGCTCACTAGTTGTGTCTCTTATTATAAAATAGTTGCCGTTATTTCCGTTGTGGATAGTAGGAGGGTACCACTGGTAAGTCTTATTTCTTTTCTTTCACTTCGATGTTTCTGTCTGTCTGGGTTTCTGTCTGCACTACGTGACTGTTATTGTGTTGGTGGTGCACTTCTCTTTACTCAAAGTCAAATTTAAAGTTGTTTTTTTCTTTTATCTCCCCAGAACCGCTTCCAATTGTTTTTCTATGAGTTGGCCATGAGCAGCAAATTCGAGCTGGCTGTGGTCCTCCTCATTTTCTTCAACATGATAGTGATGGCGATAGAGCACTACAAGGAGCCAGATTCTGTGAAAGAAGGCTTAGAGATGATGAACATCATCTTCACCACAGTTTTCACACTGGAAGCTGTTGTGAAATTAATTGGACTGCGCCTTCATTACTTCCGCTTTCTGTGGAATATATTTGATTTTATCATAGTCATCATATCAATTTTGGGTAAGTGTTTGTAGCGAAAGTTTGGTCAATATTTTGTATGTGAGCAGATCTTGATGTTTACAGGTGCTTTTTGTGTTCTTTTCTTCTGGAATCTAACTATTGTTTCAGGTCTGAGATTTGTGTAAATCTTTATAGGAATCCAAGTCAATAATGGGATTTTAATTCAGATGCCTCGCGAATAAAAGTAATATAAGTGGCAAAAAGAAAGTTTGAACCTAATTTCCTTGCCATGAAAATCTTGATAGTTTAATGTGCAGAGAAGATGCTGAAAGTTATTAAGCATAACATGTCTGAGCAAAACCTGAACTTCAGGGGTTTTTGGGTAGCCTTTTTTTCCTTTTATATGTCATGTGGCTTTTATGACTTTTGCTTTGCTTTGGTCTGCAAAGATTTATTTGCCTGTAGAAGTGACTTAAATAGACTAATTTTTTGCGCCCCCCCCCCCTCTAATATACAAATGTTTTGTGTCTCTGTCGCTTTTGTTTACTGACGGCTTGATACGATAATAATATATTATATAATCAAAAATTCTGTAATCCTTGTTTTGATCATTTGCTACCAGCAGCATTGGACATTTCTCTTCATATTTCCAGCACAACAAATTTACTCTATCCGTTGTATTTACTCCATTATATTCTGGGCTACGTATTTTGTCTGAATAAGCATCCTGGAATTGACATGCCATGTCCTAGAAGCAAGTGCAAATGATCAGTAATTATGTCATATCTCTTTATAATTCGTTCAACTATTGCCAACAATAATTACAATGATGTGAGCAGTTGTTCTTTTTTTTCACGTCATAAAGCCAGGCTGACGTGTCTGAAATGAAATAAGACAGCCAGCTCACATATCATGTATATGTCTTCCGTGGCTCGTAGCTCTCGTAAGTGTGTATTTTGGAAGGGAAATCTGTTGACAATATGAAAGTGGTTGTCTTTGAGTGCTGACCCGTTCTTCTTTTAATTCCCTCGTATAGTCATCTTAAATGACGACTTTGATACCTATGGTATTAAATTAGGTAAGACACACGTTTGACGTTTCATAATTCTTTGTTTAAAAAATTTGACATTTCAAAACTTTCTGTATGGTATCCAGACCATTGTCGATTGTATTGATTCGTCTGGGTTTTGTTGTTGTTGTTTTTTTTTCTCAGCTGTTTCTAATTTCTGTGTCAGTTTCAAAATAAGGGCTCACAATATTGAAGTGGGGAGTGTCCTTGCTTTTTCACCATAGTTACTTGTCTATCTGCGTGCCCTTTGTGTGTGTGTGTATGTTTGTATGTGAGTGTGTGTGTGTGTGTGTGTGTGTGTGTGCGCTTGTGTGTGTGTGTGTGTGTGTATGCGCGCACATGTTCTCTCCCTCTCTCTCTCTCTCTCTCTCTCTCTCTCTCTCTCTCTCTCTTATTAAAAAATCAAAATTGGTAATCAGTTTGATGGTTGTGCTGTGTGTTTGCTCATATGTGTGAATTGCTTTTGTTTGTTTGTTTTTTGTATGAGATGAAAGAGCGGAGAGATGCTGAACATCATAATTATGACACTACTTTCTTTAATTTCTTCTTTACATAGATCTCACCCTCAGATATGCGGCAGGTATATCGTAATGGAGTGGCTGAGAATGGTGTATTGTAGATCTGAAGCCATAGATATATCTTTTAGCATGTATATTGATAGTTGCTTGCATGAGTGAAGTAGTATTTTTGAAAAAGACACAAAATATGTCTCACTAATTGAATTAGTTAACCGTAAGTGATTCTGTATTGTGCTATATTGGCCCTGCAAGCCATGTTTGAGAAATTGTCATTGGACAGGGACATTCCATTAAATAGAATGGCACTGCATGTTTTATGTTGACATCTTTGGAACTCTCAGTCACGGCAGATTTAAATGCATGTCTCTGAATTATTTACAGTGGGGGTGGGGGCATTCCAACAGCATAATATACTTGTATGTGGACAATAGCATGCACATTGTTACCAGACATTCAAAATGGCACAAAGATCATTGGTAATCCTTCAATTACATACGTTAAAATATGTCTGTGTTGTTCATATGTGTATTTTGTGTTCGAAATGTATAACATCAGTAAAGTCGCATGGTAAGCAAGTTAAAATGCTTTCTTAGATTTCAGTCAGTTTTTAATTTGCAGTTAAGTCCTGCAGGATTTTTTTTCAAGCATTAATAAGACATACATGTACTTATATCCATGTTGCATTTTGGTTTTTATGTAAAACAAAAGTACTGTGGATGCCTTGTCCTATAATAATTAGAGACTTGTTTGCTGTGATTTCCTCGCCTTCTGTGTCTGCGCTGTCATTTTGGCATTTTCATCTTTCTTTCTTTTCTTTTCTTTTCTTTTCTTTTCTTTTCTTTTCTAAGAGCGTTGGGTAGTATCTGTTGCCCTGAGCAGTTCTGTTGCCCTGAGCAGTTCTGTTGAGCCAATTTAAGTTGCTCATCTTTTCGTTTCTTCTTGTGTTTCTGTTTTCTACCTTAGGCTAAGGCACTATTCAAAAGTTGATAACTTGTTTGTCTTTGTGTTAAAAATGAAGTTTGTTGATTTTTACTGACAATTCTTGTACTGCTTTCGTTCATCTTATCTCGGTGGGGTGTATCATTTCCTTTATGACGTTTTTGTGTGTTTGTGCTTTCTTACCGTAGATCATGTCCCTCCCAAGGCGTAACTCAGTTCTTAATACATTCAGTGTATAAACACAGTTCTATTTCTTTATAGGCGTTTAAATACAGAATGCTGAAGATACAAAACCTGCTGAAATGTTCTTGTTTGTAACTTCATTCTGACATTTCCTGAGTTAGGAATAATGCATTGACTGTTGATTGATCGGCCTGCGCCAATAAGTGTAATCTTATCTTATTGATCAGGGATAGCTTATATTGATAATATTTAATGTGCTCTTGTTTTTTAAGAAAGTTAAAAACTTGACAGGTACTGTAGGCTATTTACTGGGTTTTTTGTGCAAATATCTATTTCAAGTACAGTTGACATTTCATCCATAAGATGGTCGTAAAATATCCATCAGGAAATTGGGGGTGAAACTCGTGCTATCTCTTCTCATCTGCGCCATATATGAAAGGCCTGGTCTAATATAATACGGAAATACTGTTGTTACATAGTTTTGTGATATGGACAAGGGAATCGGCCCTAGGGCGTGCTTTCTTCCTTGACAACCGTCTCAAATAGTGTTGTATTTTTGTTTTTGTTTTGTTTTAGTAAGAGTTTTATAGCACTCGTAACACAATTCTTTTATATAATGTACAAGTGCCGAAGATTACAATCCCGCCAGCCACTCATGTCTTTTATTGACAGTGCGAGTGCGCCGTTTGCAAAGTTTACTATGTAATCCTTTCTTTTTCTCTTACCGCGAACGATGTGTCAGTTATTGTCCTTTTGCCCCACTTTCATCAAGTGTATAAATCAGTTCTGACTGGGTTGTCTTGATTCTCCACTGGCCTTTGACTCACTTGCCTGGATTCGTATATCATCCCAACACCTTATCCGTGCCGTCCGTACGTGTTTAGCCCCAGAAAGGTTTCCACCTTCAGAATGAAACAATCATCTCTTAGCAATGTTTGTGATTCCTCAATGAATCTCTTTACTTCAGTATAATGTTGGCTAAGGCTGCTTTAGAGCTCTGGCCTCTGATATATCTCAAACGTGGTGCAAAACTCTGAAGTGCCCTCTGCTATAATAGCAATAGCCAAAACACAAAGCTGTTCATTTAATCTAACTGATGAGGATATTATGTTAAAGCCACATTATCCCTGTGCATGCCAATCCGGTGCCTGTTGTGGGATACAATTATAATCTTCAGTGAACTTTGTACTCTGCTGTTTGGTCCAGTTGTATGACTAACTCTTGAGGAAAAATGTGTTTGTATATATAATCAAGTTCAAAGGTTGTGATCCAAGCTAAGTGGTCGAGTTTTCTTGATATAGGGGCCTATGTCGCATCTGCTTCATCATTTGTAGACTGGAGAATAACAGTGAACTGTGTCCAGACGTTTTTGGTTTATTGCGGGAGGCTTTATTTGTTCGGATTTTTTTCTGAATATGGTTACTGACACACTTCTTTTTCCACCGGTTCAAATGTCCTTTACTTATGCAACAAGGTGGGTTTTTTTCCCTAGTGTGCTATGTTCGACCCGATTCAAAAGTATTAGCATTAAAAAAAAGATTTCAATGGTATTTACTTGATCGTTTCCTCTGTTTCAGGGATCATACTGAGTGATGTCTTGTCTGGCATTTTCGTCACTCCCACTCTCCTCCGAATCATCAGGGTCTTCAGGATTGGACGAGTTCTGCGCCTTATCAAGGCCGCAAAAGGCATTCGAAAACTGCTTTTTGCTCTCATTATTTCTCTGCCAGCCATTTTCAACATCGGAGCTTTGCTGTTCCTGGTGATGTACATGTATGCTATCATAGGCATGTCATCGTTTGGAAATGTGAAAATAAATGGCGTATTTGATGAAGTTGTGAACTTCCAGACTTTTGGAAACAGTTTCATGCTTCTCCTGCGGCTAGCTACTGCAGCTGGTTGGAATGATGTGTTGGAGGCTCTGCTCATTAAAACTCCTTACTGCAACCCGGATTACTACACTCAGCCCGACGGTGTCCTGGTGGCTTCCAGCTCAGGGGACTGCGGCATTCCTTACCTCGCTATACCCTTCATGGTGACTTACATCATCATCGTGTGGCTCATTGTGATCAACATGTACATAGCTATTATTTTAGAAAATTTCAACCAAGCTCACGAGCAGGAGGAACTAGGCATCACGGAGGACGACTTCGACATGTTTTACGTGGTGTGGGAGAAGTACGACCCTCACGCTACTCAGTTTATCAAGTACGAACAGCTTGCAGACTTTGTAGGTGAGCTGGATCAGCCCTTACAAATTCCAAAGCCAAACGAAATAGCTTTGGTATCATTTAATCTTCCTATCATGGAAGGGGAAAAGATACATTGCCTGGACATCTTGATAGCTCTGGTGAGGAATGTGCTTGCCGATGTTGAGGAGACTGAAGAACTGAAAACCCTGAAGGAACAAATGGAGGCAAAATTTGCCCAGAACTTTCCCTCCAGGGTCAACATCACGGTCAAGTCGAGCACGCTCCAGAGAAAGAAAGAAGACGTGGCAGCGCGCACTCTACAGAGGGCATGGAGAAGCTTCAAAGCTCAGAAAGCTATGCGGAATATCACCGCTTTGGCTGTACAACAAAAGCTTCGCCGTGCCAGCGCTGTGGGTCTCCGCACACGATCAGACGTCATGCGAAATCTGGGGAACCGGCTCAGTAACGCCCTCAACCAGTTCTTTTCTTCCAGAAAGATTGCGACACCGTCGCCTTTCTCGTCCACGACAAACCTACAAGAGACAAAACTAAGTAAGCAGCCCAAAATCGGGCAGCATTTGAAAGTGCCTCAGGTTTTCACTTTGTATCCCGGAGACAAGTCACAAAACCAGACTCTAGATTTATGATGTAAAGAAGCAAACTGGCAATGAAAAAGGACTCATCATTGAAGACTTCCTTGAAGAGAAATTCATTTGAGTCTATTTACTTCAAAGGGACTGTCTACCGAATGGATTTGGACATTTTAAAGAACTGTTCTTGGGTTTAAGTGCATAGCATTTCCCGCGAGATCTACTTGTGTTTGGTGAATTCCTGTGACATGCTGGGTGAAAAGTGTGGGTTTTGTGGAAACCAAGAGTATCTGAGAAAAGTGACAGGGATTTTTTAATATTGACTATAGCGATTTGTCAGCAGTATTTCAGTCAAGGACAAGAACAATTTAATGCATTGTGATTGTCCTCTTTCTTTATCCCATGCAGCTGCGGAGTTTTTCCACCTTCCTAACAATGTCATGTTTTTGTCTCTTGAATGTATTCGTATTTAAGTGAGCCTAAACCTGACTGTTTTGATTTTCTTGTATATGTATGAAATATTTGGATTTGTTTGTTGATATGTTTGTTACAAAATCAAAGAAACTGTACCTAGTATAAATACTCAATGAGCAATATCTGTTTGGCTGGACCATTCCATTTCTTATTTCATGTAGAATCGGTTTATGGCCTTGTCGGGTGGAAAAGGCATTTAGCCAAAGCAAGTTTTTTCTTCTTCTCATATTTTCTGTTAGAATGGGTTTTTTTAAAGGAATAAGAGCAACAGGCCTCTAAAGTACTCAACAGTTTGCTTTACAATAATTAATGTATAGGCTTTGGGAGTAAAACGTGCTGCAAATCATTTTGCTCTCCATGGAGAAAATAAAATCTGCCGATAAATGACAATCTGCTCTGAAGTCAGATCTTAGCTGAAGTGATTCTAGTTGGGTTTTTATGACCCGCCGAGGGTCTGACGAATGTGGTAACATATCGTGCACTGAAATTCCCATTCAGTTCAAATGGTTCAGAGATGTAAACAGTTACATGCCTCAGTGTTACACTAAATTGGTACATATTATGTACAAATGTATTATGCTTACCGGCCAGGGTTGTTTCATTCCCGCAAAGGACTCGCCCATCATTTGAAAATGGGCATGTGATAACTGATATGTCACACAGGCTTGAGCTAGTGAGTGTATCTGTTCTGAGGGACATTTGTCTGCAACTCTTGGCATGTGCCCTTTGCCCTCTGACTCTAACCCCCGACAGCACCAGTGTCAAGCAGGTGTATTGATATTGATATTGCGAACTAGAGCTTATTGAATGATTGACTGGTCACTTTTCATGTCAACAGGATCATGATCTCAAATGGTCAGTCTTTATTGAATTACATTAACTGTGATAAACAAACTGTTAAACTGGAAAAATGTAATGACTCTTGAGAGCTGTTTTATTGGTAACCGGTCATTTCGCCCCACGGTCATCTCGTTGTATTCCCGCCAAAGACTCTCAGTTACTTGAGCAAGGAGAGCTGTCGACAATAGGATTGAATGTTGCAGCGGTCGGTTAAACCTTCTTGGATATGTTTCTTCTCTAAGTTTACTACTGCAGGGCTAGGGGAATGCAAAGGGAGACTAGATCTAGATGAACTATTAAAAAAAAGACCATATTTCTCCGAATGTTCGTAATTACCAAAGATACAATCAAAACCCAGTTATTTTTGTCACTCAGACAAACATGTGGGCATTATAATTTCGTATTTCAAAAGCTGATCTATGATGTAAGAAATGACCAAAGGCAACACTACCATCATTTAGTGTTCCTGATGACTGAATCTTTCTGAAATAAGGAAATTGTGCTTATTACGCGAAAGTATAAATGGCGTTTCCTTTGCGAGTCAAATCCTATATAATTAATGTGATCACGAGTGAACATAAAGCGTACATTGTCTTTAAGTTTGTGCTCATGCCACACCGTCTCTGGACTTCCAAGTTTTGGAAACTCACTTTTCCCTTGAATTTTTGAGTTGTGTTGTGGGGCATTTGTATATTTTTGTTGTTTTTATTTTCGTTTACTATTTCACACGCTGGTTGTGTTGGATTTTGTTTTGTCTATTTTCACTTTATTGACAAGGGGTTTTTTTTTCGTTGGGTTTTTTTTTTTTTTTTTTTT